AAAAAAAAAAAAAATTGTTGTGAGTGTGCGTGAGTGAGGAATTAAAAAAAAAATAGTTTTCTTTGATTTTTGGGTTTTGGGAAGATTGGCTAGGAGTTAAAAAAAAAAAATGTTGATGAGTAATTTGGAGTGGAGGGATCAATTCGAGACATGGGAGAAAGAACGAAATGAAGCCCTCGAGCAGTTGAAGAAGAGCGTTCGAGAATTTACTAAAAGCATGTCCCGTAAAAATACCGAGAGCCGCACCAAACGCAACCGAGCGATCCGCAGGGATAAGGTAACTGATCGATGTTGGTCCGAGAGTCGCATGGTGGAGTGGTGCAACCAACAAGGGACTAGCGTAGGCCAAGGCGAGTCCGAAAAGGGTGAAAGCCGAATCGAAGAACGGTGCGAGGAGCCAAAATTTCCATTCGAATTTCCAGGTTTTTTCGACGAGGAACCCATGTTCTCGTTTGAATTTCCGGGATTTTTTGACGAAGAGTCCGTTTTTTCGTTCGAGTTTTCGGGATATTTCGATGAGCAGCCCAATTTTCCGTTTGAATTCCCAAAATATTTTGAGGACTTGGAGGCCACCGAGTACGTGGAGCAGTCGACGGATTATGAAGGGCCGCTTATGTTCTATAACTATTTTCAAGAGGCCGAGGAAGTCGAGCTTGAGGAGGAAATTCCCCAACTGGTGTTGATTGACGAGTCCTTGAGGACAAGGACTCATTCGAAGGGGGGAGGAATGATGCGGAAGTGGCTTTCGAGGCCCGAGCATGCCGAGAGCCGAGGGCCGAGACGATCCGAAAAGGCCGAGAAAAGGACCGAAACAACACGTGCATGGCCAAAAAGACGTACGAGAGCTCGAATACGAGGACACACGCCCGAAGATCACGCACGGTGCGCATGCAACGTGAGGTTCAAACACGGACGCGGCGTGACTTGAACGTCAAAATTGACAAGAAGCTTCTAGAAGATTCAAGTCCAAGATTCTAGAAGATACTTATTAATTAGATTAATTATTATTTAGTTTAGTTAGTTTAATTACTTATTAGTTTAGTTAATTAGATTAATTATTAGATTTGTTAAATAATTGTTAGTGGGAGGATTAATGTTAGATTGTTAGGATTTTTATTTATTGCCGTTAATACATAGATTTTGGTTAGGATTAGTTTTGTTAAGTTAGTATTTAATTAGTCGTGAGTTTTAATTAGTTTAGGTTAGGTATTTTATATTTTGTTAAGTCTTGATATGCAAGACATTTAGTTGCCTTAGGACTAGATATAATTTCCTAGTTAGAATTATAGCTCTCATAGGACTAGATCTAGTTTCTCCTATAAATACCCATGTACCCTATGCTATTTTTGATCATCCAAGAAATTAATAAAAAATCGAACGTTTGTTCACCAACTCTTGTGTGTGAGTTTACATACAAAATCGTGTTAGAAATAGGACCAACATCCGGGTTTCTTCACACCTATCGTGTTAGAAATAGGACCAACATCCGAGTTTCTTCACAACAATCGCGAAGTACGAAGGCGTCGGCGCGCGTATTAGCATCCTATCGCTTCGGGACCAAGGCGTCGGCGTAGGTTTCAAGCAATTCGAGTTGAGGCAGATACACGATCTTCATCACAACCGTACCGTAACTCGACGGGGACAACCGTACCGACGGCCGTAACATCTCACATCAGTAGGCCACATGGTTCACATTCATACATTGGTCATACCAACCAAACATTTAAACACACGTATGGCATAGATAATTTTATAAGTAAACCCACCTGGTGTAGCAACGGAGAAAAATGGCACACAAACGGATGTAGGCAGCGAGCACGGCTCGTCAGACACCTACAACAATTATATACTAAGATCACCTACTTGACCTTAGAGAACAATCATAAGCACCCTTGGTCGAACTTGATTCAACCAAGTAGTTCGTGAAGTTCCGTGGATATTGGAACACTTGGGTCCTACATCTAGACTTGACCAAAAATGCATATTAATAACACATATAGTCCTAGCATGCAAAACAAAGTCAAACAGGTCAAAGGAACACATAAGGGTTCGGGAACAATTATAAGGAAAGCTTGGGT